CACGCCAGACTCCCCCAGAGTGGGCCAGAACTGCATGCTAAACCTAAACAGGTGACTACCTGCTAAAATAAGAGATTTAAGTAGGACCTGGAGTATCACAACATAATAGTAAAAATGTCCAGGATACAATTGAAAATCACTCATCATATCAAGAGCCAGAAAAATCACAACTTGAATGAAAACAGACCGTCAACTGATACTAACATAGAGATAAAGTAGATATAGGAATTATAAGGAGTTTAAAATAGCCATAAACCAAAAACTTCAACAAGCTATAATAAATTCTGTTGAAATAAATGAAAAAATAGAAAATCTCAGAAAACAAATGCAAGTTACAAAAAGGAATGACATGGCAATCTCCTAACTGAGAAATATAATACCCAAATTTTTCAACTTGCTCAATGGACTCAATAGTAAACATGTCAGAGACAGAATCAATGAACTTGAGGACAGATTAATAAAATGTGCCCAATCTGTAAAAGACAGAAGACAGGTTGGAAAGAAAATGAAGAGACTATCAGAGACCTGTAGAGCAGTAAGAAAAGATCCAACACTCATATTATTGGAGGTCCAGAAGAAGAGGAGAAGTGTAGGGCTAAAAAGATACTAGAAGAAATAAAGACTTAAAATCCCCAAATTTGGCAAAAGAAAGCACAGAGATACAAGAATTTGGGCAAACCTGAAGCAGGATAAATTCAAAGAAATTCACATTGATACACCATAGTTAAACCTTTGAAAACTAAAGGAAAAGATAAAATATTGAAAACAGCCAGAGAAATGACACATTACCTATTGGGGAACCCCAGTTCAAATGATAGTAAGTTTCTCACCTGAAACTGTAGAAGACAGAAGGAAGTGGTTCAATATTTTTCAAGTTCTGAAAGGAAAGAACTGCCAACCCAGAATATCCTTTAGGTATGAAGGGGAATCGAGACATTTGCCACTACCAGACTTCTATTGAGAGGGTAGACTGTGATACGTCACATATTTATGTTGTAATACCCAGAGCAACCATTAAGAAAGCTATACAAAAGGATACATTCAAAAAACACTATAAGTAATGCAGGGTGGATTCCTAAAAAAATGTTCAAGCAATCCACAGAAAAGCAAGAAAAGAGAAAAAGAGTGAATAATCAAAAAACAAATAATAAAATGATAGATTTAAGCTCTAACATATCAATAGCTATCTTAAATGTAAATTGGTCTGAATACACTGATAAATTGGTTGAGTAAATTAAAAAATATGTCCTAACTATATGCAGTTTATAAAAAACTCACATCAAATTTCATGTTATATGTAGGTTGAAAGTAAAAGGATGGAAACAGGTCTACTATATGAACATTATTTAAAACAACTGGGAGAGGCTATATTAATATCAGATAAAGTAGACTACATATGAAAGGAAATTAGCAGAGACAGAGAGGGACATTATATAATGATAAAAGGGTCAATATACTAATTGGCTATAATTTTTCTGTGTGTGTAGAAAACAACAGAACCTCAAAATGAGAGAAACAAAACCTAATAAAGTTGTAAGTTGAAATAGACCAATTCACAATTATAGATGGAGTTTCAATAAGTCCCTCTCAGCAGCTAAAGAATTATTAGACAGAAAATCAGAGAGGATATGGAAGATCTGAACAACATAATCAACCAATAGAGTCTAATTGACATATATAAAATACTCTACCCAACAACAGCAGAATACACATTTTGTTTCAACCATCCATGCAATAGTCAGTCAGCAAGATAGATAATATCTTGAGCCATAAAACAAAATTCAACAAATTTGAAAGCATTGAGATCATACATAGCATGCTTTCTGACCATAGTGGAATCAAACTAGTAATCAATAACAGAAAAAAAGAGAGAGAAAAAGAAAATTTCTGAATACCTGGAAATTAAGCACTCCTAAGTAATCCAAGTGTTAAAGAGGATGTTTCCAAGGAAATAAAAAACATCCACAGAAATAAATGAAAATGAAAACACGGAAGGAAGAAAGTGTGTTGAGTGCAGCTAAAGCAGAGCTAAGAGGGAAATTTATAGTGGAAAAAGAAAAGATCAAAAGTTCTTGTCTCAAGAAACTACAAAAAGAAGTGTAAAGTAAGCTCAAAGCAAGCAAAGGGAAGGAAATCATACAAATTAGAAATTACTGAAATTGGAAATAGAGGAACCTTAAATGCATATTACTAAGTGAAAGAAAGCCATTCTGAAAAGGCTACATACTGTAGGACTCCAATATGTATATGACATTCTGGAAAAGGCGAAACTATAGAGACAGCAAAAAGATCAGTGGTTGTCAAGGATTGGGGGACAAATGAGGGATGAATAGGTGGAGCGGTGAGGGTTCCCTGTATATTAAAATGATGGAGACATGTCATTATGTCATTATCCATTTGTCCAAACCCACAGAATGTACAACCCACTCACCCGTGGCTATCTCTAACCTCATCCCACTGTTGCTCACACACACACAAAACTTTGGCCACACTGGTCACTTTCATCACATTCAAGCAAGTGCCTGACTTGGGGTCTTTACACTTGCAGATCCTTTGGCCACTTTCCTACATTGTCACTTCACTTAGGTACCATATCTTTAGAGGCCTTTCCTGACCACTCTATCTAAAATAGCACCAGTTACTCCCTATTCCCTTAGCCTGTTTTATCTTTCTGCATGACAGTTATCGCTACTTGATATTTTGTTACGTATTTATTCATTTATCTGTTTGAGATCTATTTCCTCTAGTTTCAGCTTCTTGGGGGCAAGACTTTGTTTAGTTCACCACTGGATCTCTAGTGCCCAGGAAAACCATTCCATAGGCTTTCGGTGATTATGATGTGTCATGTAGATTCTTCAGTTGTAACAAATGTACCACTCTTGTAAGTGGTATTGATAATGGGGGAGGTTATGTATATGTTATGTGTAGGGGCCAAGGGTATATGAGAAGTTTCTGTACCTTCCTCTCAGTTTTGCTGTGAACCTAAAATTGCTCTTAAAAAGTCTTTAAAAAAATGAATCAATGCAATCTATCGTATCAACAGACTAACGAAGGAAAATCAGCCAATATTAATTGACACCGAAAATATATTTGACAAAACTCAATACTCTCAGCTTTGTTTTTTCTCAAGATTGCTTTAGCTAATCAGGGTGTTTTATGGTCCCATATGAACTGAGGATTGGTTTTTCTATTTCTGAAAGAGGCCATTGGAATTTTGGTAGAGATTGCACTGAATTTGTAGATCACTTTAGGCAGTATGGAGATTTTAACAATATTAATTCTTCCAATCCAAGAACACAAAATATCTTTTCATTTATTCATGTCTTCGATTTCTTTTCATCACTGTCTTATAGTTTTCAGCATACTGATGTTTCATCTCCTTGGTTAAATTTATTCCTAAGTATTTTATTCTTTTGATGATGTTATAGCTGAGATTGTCTTCTTCATTGTTTTTTCAGATGGTTTGTTGTTAGTGTACAGAAACGCAATGGATTTTTGTATACTGATTATGTATCTGGAAACTTTACTGAACTTGTTTCTTAGTTCTAACAGTTTTTTGGAGGGATCTTTAAGGTTTTATATATATAAGATTTGTCACCTGCAAGCAGAGACAATTTGATTTCTTCCTTTTGGATTTGAATGTTTTTTCTTTCTTTATTTTTATTTTATTTCTTTTTCTTGTCTGTTGGCTCAGCTGCGACCTCCAGTACTATGGTGAATAAGAGTAGAGAGAGTGGGCATCCTAGTGTTGTTCTTAATCTTAGAGGAAAATCTTTTAGCTTTTTACTGTTCTGTATGATATTAGCTGTGGACTCGTCATATAGGGCCTTTATTATGTTGAGGTATCTTCCTTTTGTACTTAATTTGTTGAGAGACTTTATCATGAAAGGATGTTGAATTTTGTCAAATGCTTTTTCTACATCTATTGAGATGATCATATGGGTTTTATCCTTCATTCTGCTAATGTGGTGTATCACATTTATTGATTTGTGTATGTTGAACCATCCTTGTATCCCAGGGATAAATGGAACCAAAAAACATCCCAAATAGGCATAGCAATCTTGAGCAAGAAGAACAAAACTGGAGGCATTGCACTTCCTGATTTTTAAATTATATTTCAAAGTGACTGTAATGAAAAGAGTATAGTATTGGCATAAAAATAAACACAGACGAATGGAACATAATAAGAGCCCAGAAATAAATCCATGCATATACAGTCAACTAATCTTTGACAGAGTGCCAAGAATATACAATGGTGAAAGGATAGTGTCTTCAATAAATGGTGCTGGGAAAACTGGATATCCACCTACAAAAGAATGAAGTTGGACCCTTATCTTACACTATACACAAAGTCAACTCAAAATGGATTATAGACTTGAATGTAAGATCTGAAACCATAAAACTCCTAGAAGAAAACACAGGGAAAAATATCTTTAACAGTGGTCTTGGCAATTTTTTTGGATATGACATCAAAAGCATAAGTAACAAACACAAAAATAAGCAAGTGGGACTGCATCAAACTGAAAAGCTTCTAGATGGCAAAAAAATTCAAGAAAATGAAAAGGCAGGCTCTGCAATGGGAGATAATATTTGCAAACCATGTATCTGAGGTACATAACATAAGAGGTTAATACCCAAAATCTTTAATACAACTCAATAGCAAAACAAAACAAAACCCCACAAATAACCCAATTAAAAAATGGACAAAGGACCCAAACAGACATTTTTCTGAAGAAGAATGGCCCTTGGGTACATGAAAAAGTGCTCAACATCACTAATCATCAGGGGAATGTAAATCAAACCCACAATGAGATATCACCTCATACCTGTGAAGACAGCTATTATAAAAAAAAAAAAAACAGAGAGAACAAGTGTTGGCAAGGATGGGAGAAAAGGGACCCCTCCAGCACTGCTGGTGAGAATGTAAACTGGTGCAGCCTCTATGGAAAACAGCATGGAGGTTCCTCAGAAAATTAAGAATAGAACTACCATATGATCCAACAACCTCACCTCTGGGATTTTTTTGTTGCTATTGTAACATATATTTATTTTGTATTGAATAAAGAACACATACGTACAAATAAGATGCAAACGTTATGATTTAATACATAAGTGAGTGAAAACAATAAACTGACAATTCCCTTAGGTACACTACAAGGAGAAAGCACACAAATAAAAATGGCCCACCGCCCTCACAATCAGTGAAATAGAGTTTAAAACAAAATGAGACAAAATGAGCCTAGGCTGATGAGTACCATAACACAAATACTCTCAGAGCTCATATTTGGAGTTATAAGTGGGATATCCTTTTTAAAATCAATTTGACAAACTATAAATGTTTCTGTCTGCCCCAGAAATGTTACAGCTGTGTATGTATTCTGAGACGTACGTATTAATGGGAAACACTGATACACACAAAGATACTAATTGTAGTGCTCTTTACAACAGCAAATTTGGAAATAGCCTACACTTCCAACAGTAGGGGGAAAACTAAGTATATGGTGATGAATCTACTTAAATTGTTCATTGAACCACTGAAAATGTTTATTGTGATTATGTAATATTATTAGAATGCTATGGTAAATGCTTATTACTTGAAGATATTAAGAGACAAAAGCAGGACTAAAATCATACGTGATATTATTTCAGTTGGGTAAATGCTATAGAGAAAACTTGAAGGGAACATACAGGTCATAGAGAGTGGTTATGATCACATGTTTATTCTGAAGACAGAATAGCCTTTTATGCTTATATTTAATTTTTAATGAATGTTAAAATGAAAAATCATTTTAAAGGAATAAATTATATGTATTCTACAGTATTTTTACATTAATCGTGAATATTTTCTGAAGCAATAATGTTGTATTTTTCAAAAGGTGACCTCTGTTTGTGATTAAAATGTTCATTCTTCAAAAAAAACCCAATCACTATAAATCTCTTATGTGGAGCCATCTATCTAATACAAGGAGTGAAAGAGAGAATCCAGGATGGTGGTGGTCTGCAATTCATGCAACCACTCTTGTCAAGGATTGGGGCCCTCCGTGTAAGGCAAGGTGTCAGTGAATGAGAAACCAGCTATGTCCTGTGCAGACAGCAATGTGGACATCAGAGATTGATGGGGACATTTTGGTGAGTGGGACTGGGTGGTGGAGCTACATCTCCAATGGAAACATGAGAGCTATGCAGACAAACAGGCCCAGAAACCTAATCCTCGGACCAGGGGCCGATACGGTAGAGGGTCACAGGGAAGACGGCTGGAGAACACTGTGCCTCGGGGGCTGAGCCATGACTCAGGGGCAGGAGGATCTCAGATGGGAGAAGCCAGCTTCATCTCAGACCCACCACACTGCAGGTCTGGTGCAGAAATTGGGCACGGATAATCCCAGGGGTGAAGAGCATCAGAGGATTCACTCCGGGGGACACGGTGAGCAGGGGCTGCTGGGGAGCACTCTCCTGAGAACAACCTCATGCGTTGCGCTGGCACAGAGAGGCCACAGACACAAAGGGGAGCAATGAACACTGCTACCTCCCTGGCAAAATGGATGTTACTCTTGTCTTCTTTTCTTCCTTCTGGAAACTTGTTCTGTTCCTAATATTCTGTAATTTGAGAAATTCTCCCAGCTGAAGAGAAACAAAATGATTAAAGAACATTCTATGATATATGTGGATGTGTGTTCAAAAATGAATGACCTCACAACCCCTTTCACCCCCTGAACTTCCAGCCCCAGCGCCCTGTCGGTCACACGGCAGAGCTGTCCATGCAGGAGTGGGGACAGACCTGCCGGGCCATCCACGCACTACGGGCACAGGGGCAGACAGGGCACTTGGGCCGGGACCGTGGGTGACAAGGAGGGCCACCTTCTTGTTCGTTTACAACCTGGGTGCTCGTCAGTGAGACGGGTTTGCTGTGGGGGAGGGAACACTCAGCCCAAGGGTTTGGTGCCTGAGAAAGTCCTCAGTTGCTCTTTTCAGAGAGACGCCTGCCCAGACAGAAGCTTGTCCTCACCTCGGAACCAACCGCAGATATCGAGGGGCCACTGCTTGTCACCTCCTTTCATAGTAGCTCTCCTGCCCTGAGTATCTCAGCAGCCATTTTTATGATAGTTTCGAACACTATTCTCATTGTCACTGCTGTTACTCCAGGGCGACTTGGACAATTTCTCCTTTCTTCTGGGAGATGAACCTGGCTCATCTGTGGTGACTTTTTAGGGGGGGGGAAGCTAAGTCTGACCCCTGGAAAGAGAAGAGGGCGTGGCATGTGTCCAGGGTGTGTGGGTGTTGCTCTGTGAGCATCAGTTTCCCCATCTGAAGGCTGGGCTGTGCGGGGTCGGCTCTGAGCTACCCTGTCCTTGGTCCTGTATGTGCCAGGGCTTCAACCACGCACAAGCCCTACTCTGTTATCTGGCCCAACTAAAGGATCCGAAACCCAGTGTGAGTGTCTTGCACTCCCCCTAAACCCACTGCCCTGTTATTTCACGGCCCTGCCTCCACGTCTCTCTCCCGGACATCACTTTTGTTTCTGGCGACGGCACTTTCTTGGTGCTGAATACACACTCCAGTCTGTCTCAGGCGACCTGGCTTCTCACTTGGCTGGTACGCACAGGGCTCTCCACCAGTTTGGGCAAGCGCCGATCGCCTCAGGTGACAGTCCCGTGCTCCAGCCCCAAACCTTCCCTGTTCATGGCCTCCCCCCAGCACAGAGAGGGAAAGAAGTGGTGGAAGGCTGTAAGACTTGTACGGTAAGGGGCGCCGATGTGCCTTAGCAGTAAGAGACCAAAGCAGAAACGTGAGGGATATCGTGAAGTTAACCCTCACTGTGGAGGGCCCCCTGCATGCACAGACCTGAGGCAGGTTCTGTGGGGGAGTAAGCCGCGGGGGCCCTCCTTGATGCGACAGCCAAGTCCCAAATATGAGGTGTAAGGCGGAAGACATCACTACCGGTGCAAGGGCTCTAAGTCCATCCAGAGAGAGAACAGAGCAGGGGTACACCCCTGGTTCAGAGCAGGGAGAGAGCAGGTGGAAGGAGCACCCCCCTCACACACCCCGACCCTGGGCGCGGGGGTCTTCGCCCTTTGTTAGGGGCAGGAGTCTGCGACGGGCCCAGCTGGCCTTCCAAATTCAGCCGAACCACATGCTTCACCAGCATTTTAGTTTGCGTGATTCCCTTCACTTGTCTTTAAAGTCAGATTGAAATATCAGTTACTGACCTGCTTCCTCCCTCCACTTGTTTTTGCTAGATCTCTTTTTGAGTCCATCTAGATCTTTTGTTAGATGTTTTGTTAGATCTCTTGGGCCCTTTCCCCATCTGGGACTAAAACAAAACAATCCTGGTACATACCATGTATGTCTTAGGATACTATCGGCTGCAGGCAATAGACACCTGACTCCACGCAGCTGCACCTATGTAGCCACGTTAAGAACTTTTGTAAGGGGAAGTGCGAGCTCAGGGTGCTCCGGTGGAGGCTGGAGGGTCCAGCAGCTCAAGGACAGTCAGAGCTCTAGTTGCTTGTCTGTTTTTTGTGCTGCTCATGAGCTCCCTCCTAGGCCTGGTGGGAGGCCTAGTGGCCATCCCTCCCGGTTTCCTGGGAAAACCCAGTGTGCGCCTTTTGCCCTGACATCGTTCGTCACGGTGGCCCCTTTCACTCCCGGTAGCGTCCGGGTTTAGATGACCAGTTTTCTTTGGTCTCCTGCATCATGTGTTTGCTGCTCGTTGCACATGCGGTTACATTATCTACACGTCCACTGGGAGGGGATAGGTGGGTCTCCTGGGAGAGTAGATCTTCCCCATAAAGCCCCCCGGCAAGTCTCTCCTCTCATCTATTTAGCCCGCATTATGGCAGGAGGGATGCCATTTGCCTCATATCAAACAGAACTCACCCTGAAGCTAGGGTCACATTCTAAGGCATGTGGTTTCACGTGAAGGGAGGGATACTTGGACAGTGCGGTTCTGTGCGGAAAGAGGAAGGGGGAGTGCAGAATGGAGCAGCCACAGCAGAGCCCTTTGTGATGAGCCTGTTTCTTCCACTTGACAATCTCTCACACTCCTAAATTCAAATGCTCTCCTGATTGTGAGACTAGACAGAGTACAGAGCGGGAATGGGACTTTCTCACTCCGTGTGTTCCAGCATGTCACTTACCACTGTAAAGTACCAGCTGTCTGGGATATGCTTGTTGGTTATCTAACTGGCAATTTTTGATTCAGTCTTTGCTAAAATTACCAAAGATTTCATATGAACTGTATTATGCCCTTTGGATAAAATCATTTTGACTGTGCTCCACAGACATCCAGCCACCAGTATCTTCTCTTTCTACCTGAGAAGGACCCTCTACCTATGCTGGGTGGCAGGCCCGAATTGCCAGAAAATCAGCATCGCCTGGGCAGCCCTCAACCAGCTTCCTCACCTCTTTGAGAAGGACAATTCTGAAGTGGGTGTTTTGCATCAACAGTTTGCTCACAGGGTTAAACTCCACAGCGGTAAACGGCCTCGATAATAATCCCACATCAGCTGCCTTCTGTGTGTCTTCCTGCCCACCCCCAACCAGTGCTTCCTTCACCATCCAAATCAACTTTCTGCACCTGAATCCTTGTCTCAGGATCTGCTTCTGGGGCAACCGGCATTTATTATCTCCAGCTCCAAATCTGCTTCTCTTCCTAGAACCTCCGTCTCAGTGACCACACCCCCACCCACCCTGTCACCCAATTCCGAAAGCCAGGTGTCGGTCACCCTAACTCCCTGTGTCCTCCATCATAAGTTCTGTTGATTCTACATCCTGAGTACTACTTGACTCAAGTTCCTTCACCTCCACCGGCACTGCCTGGCTTCAAACCCTGGCCACTGCTACAGCCTCTGCCCATCTCACCCACCTCCAACCAGCCCTTGACACCCACCACTAGAGTGATCCTTCCTGAACCCAAATCTTTCTGGGTCACCCCTTTGCCTAAAGTCCTTCAATGGTTCCCCACTGACTACAAGAAAAAGCTCCTTTATAGGACAGACCAGGAACCTCAGCTGACCCTTAGCTTCCTCCACCCAACCCCCTGCCCCGCTGTTCCTCACTGGCCACTGCTCGTGCCTCATGAAATATCTGCCACCTCCAGAATTCACTTTGCATCCCAGCTTTGGTGCTTGCTGTCCCCTTCACTTGTAATGCCTTTCTCCTCCTTTGAAGAACCCCTCTTCCTCTCCCAATGCTCAGCTATCATGTCCATTTCTGTGCAATCTTCTCTGGCTGCCCTGCCCCCTGCCCTTCCCTTCTCCTTCCCAGTACAGGGATAGGCCTACTCCCTTGGTGTTCATGTAGCCCATTGGAGAGCTCCTCATGTATCACAGTGTGTCAAATTGTATTAACAGGTTCTTACTGGCCTGTGGGCTCCTTGAGGGTCAGCCACCATATGATAACCATCTCTCTCACCACAGTCCTAAGCTCAGGAACTGGCATACAGCAGGTACTTAATAGATGTTGGTTGTCACCCATCTGGAAAGTATGTGAAAACTAGATTGCAAGGAGATGCTATATTAGATAAGCAGGAGGTAGGTAAAAGAATCAGATCTGAAATGGGAAATTTCTGGAGTCCTTATTTAAAATCACCAAATATTAGAATGACAGATATCAAAAATCACCCTGAGCAGCCCTGGAAGATGTTTTCGTCCTTTCCTGCTATTGGGCATGTCCTTTCTTCCCTCCATTTTCTTAGGCATCCCTTTAACTGTATGAGCACAGTTCTTCCATATTAATATCCTAGTTCTGTCCCCAAACATCTCCTCCCCCCGCCCAGTCCAGCCCTGCTCTTTATGGACGCCTCTTTTTTCCTTCTCTCTGCAAGGGCAGTCACAATAAAAATACAGAGGGAGGACACTGTACATTTCTTTGGGAATGAGGGCCGTGATGCCTGTTTCTTATGCATTAGTGTGAATCAATATAGTCTTTCCTGAAAATATAAGCACCTCAAAGAGCAGCAAATATGAATCACAACTGCTAGCGAGGATCAAACATTAACCCAGGATTGTGATGAGGCCAACAAAAGAAATAGGCTAGTAATTGCCTTCCAGGATATCAATCCCTACCTTCCACACACACCCCCTCAACACACACTAAACCTTTATGGATCTTTCATCCATGAACTTGCCCAATTATAATTGCCCAGCTGTGTCTTTAGTTGTAGTCAGGCTAGGTCCTGGCAACCAAGACCTCACATACCTGATCCAAGGATTCAGAACAGTTATGAGACCTATAGCAGAAGTCTTTGGTTACTGAAACAGTGGAAGACACACTCACAGACAAACAGTATTCAATATCAAGTTGAATTATCAGTATAATTCAGTATCAAGGAATAGTACCACCCAGGCTGACTTCTCCTTTAGGGGCAGTAGGCACAGTCGCTGGGGCTCACAGTGCTTTGAGGGGCCCATGGAAATGTTTTAATTTCTTTTAAAATCAGAAGAAAATGATCTTTGAGGTCAAGGAAAATATATTAATACATAACAATATATTTGTCTTTACACCAATGCAATGGTAAAATGTAACTTTTACCATGTTTTAATGAAGGAGGGCATCCACAAAGGGAACAGCACCCACAAATGTCATAATGTGGCCCTGGTTTCTACCACATCTTGCTTGCAGCACAAGGTTAGAACCTCCGTGACACCAATTCAGGTTCCCATACTAATTATAAACTTGCCAGGCCTCTCTCTATGTATTTCACACTGTGTGTGGCCAACCCCAAATTCTGCAAGAAGGAAGTCAAGGTTACTACTCACAGTGTCCGACTGGAGGTTTGAACACAATGCAAAGGCCAGCTAGATTCAGACTGCTCTGCTCTGATTAATTTCTGCTCTGCACAGTCTCTCTCAAATATCTTCATCCTGTTTTGATTACCAGGAAAAAAATCTTTTACTGTAGGGATTAATTAAGCCAAGGCAGTTGCTTCCTTTGCCCTCTTGAAACATTTATAGGATTTAGCTTTTTAATTTTATTTTTAAATGATCAATAGTACTACAGATACCTATTACTGATTTACTGGTTAACAACCATATAGTCATCATCTTTGTAACTCCCATACTTAAGAAATGTTAGTCACTTAATAAATGAATCACCTCCCAGGCAAGTTTGCGGAAAGTGATTATGTCCGTGGACTAATTTTGTCTTTAATTATCTCACACCTTATGCGAAGGATGCTTGACCTGTATCACAATTGGCATTCTGGGGGGTGAGCGCTGGACCCTTCTCACCTCTCCTGCCTCCATCAGCCAGCCATTTCCTCCCTCCTGAGCTCTGTTCTCGCCCTTCTTCATCGTGGGGTCTGGAATGGTCCCCAGCCCAACGGGAGACGGCAGGGTCCCCCGTCCACCGGCCCTCCCTGGCGTCCCTCCCGCCGCGTCGTGGGCGCCCCTTCCTCCCGCCACCCCACGCCGCCTACAGCCACGCCCTCCCCGTGGGCGAGATCACCTGTCCCTCCTCCTCCGCCGCCTCCTCGGGTACCCTTTCGTCCCCCTCCTGCTCCCCCTCCTCCGCCACCTCCCCC